TTATTTGCAGTAAACATGGTATAAAAAGGTCTTAGGTTTACAATAGGCACAAACTTTATGTACTGGATTCATTTTTTCTTTCTATCCGTATACTAATTGGTTTCAGGATTTGACGCCATAATTCCCATTTTAATTTTTTTTTGTAAGTCGCCGCGCTGGTTTGTAATCTCTTTACGAAATCTATTTTTCTTTCATATCATTTCGCATGCGTATGCTCAGTGCTGTTTCTTGCTTGAATGCTTGAATATTCTTTCCTTATTCGTATTAGTTAATTCAGTATTGGAATCCGTTTACTAAACCATCATTAAACCTTCAACCAGGGGCGTAGTTAGCGCCGTATCTGCCGTATCAATTATACGGGGCCCCCGGACTACAGGAGCCCCCAACGTGCCTAAGCAAAAATTAATAAAAACTTCCCAATTTTTATTCTATTTCAGTAATCACAAAGTAAACAAAAAACGATTTTTCCCGCGTAAAGCATGCGTTCAAAGGTTGGCAAAAACTTAAGAAAAATAAAAGTAATTAAGGTCCGCTAATTAGGACAGAGGGAGTTGCCTGAAAAGATTTTCGGTTTTCACACAAATATATATTTATTTTATTTAAAAAATCTCTTAAGACAAATGTTTACCCTTCAAGGGCCCCTAAACAATTTTTTAAACGGGGCCCCCCCAATGCACGCTACGCCACTGCCTTCAACCCTTCAATAAAAGAGCGTACTCCTTTTTAAAAGGACGGCATCGCACCTGTGACTCTTCTGGTGTTGCGGGTGTCCATGGGCGGCGCTGATCGTTTACCATCAGGTGATCTGTCAGCTAATTTGCCACCTATTCCATAAAAAAAAATATCGAACGGAATACGTCAGCAAATGAACAAAGACCACCCTTGTGAGAGAAAATCTAATATGATCGAGTTATTCTATTGAATTATAATTATTATTGTTATTGTCAATAATAAGTCACAATAAGATGATTTTATTTCTAAGTCGTCACGTGTAATGCTTACCTCATAGTGATAAACGGGAACGTGTCTTGCGTAAATACAATTATCTCAATCTTACTACAACTAATTAGGTAAACAGTAGTTTTATTAAAACATAACATAACATTACGCCTTTTATCCCCGAAGGGGTAGCCAGAGGTGCACATCACGGCATTTAATGACACTGTACAATGTAACACCCAATTTTAACTATTTATGTTATGAGTCCCATGTAATAGGGGGTGAGCCTATTGTACAATAATACTACGCTTATCTAATTTTAGTGTCAAAAGTAGTATCTGAACTGAATATAATATTAAATAGGTTTAAGTTTTTTTGTGTATCCTAGAGGCTATATTCGAGCTCACGGATGCCTGATGGTAAGCAATCGGCGCCGCCAATGGACACTCGAAACACCAGAGGTATTAGAACTTTACAAGTGCGTTACCTACCGGCCTTTTGGGGATTAGGAATTTGAGGATTATTGGGGAGGGAAGTTAGGCCTCCGGTAACCTCACTCACACGACGAAACACAACGCAGATATTGTTTGACGTCGGTTTTCTGATGCCGTGGTTTCAGTTAGGTCGAGCCTAGGTATCAGTGCCGAAGCATGGCTCTCCTGATTAAAATTATAAGAATGTAAATGGTTTCACCAAGTTTCGTTTTAATGTCAATAAATAAGAATGGTCGCAAGTGCGACTGCTGGGCAAGGAGTCTCGGGTTCGATCCCCGGGTCGGGCAGTTTAACTGGGTTTTAAAAAAATATTCAGTAGTAGCACGGAGTCTGGAAATGGGCATAGGAAAATAAAACATAGGACTCATTACATAAATAGTGAAAAGTGGGTGTCACTTCTGTGTGCATGTCTGCTTTTCCCTTCAGGGATAAAAGGCGTGATGTTATGTTATGTTATGTAAATAAATAATAAAGTGATGTCAACAAAACACTTAAAGAAAAATGATATCTAGAAATTCAGTGATCAGATGAAGAGATACCTAAGTATGTCTTTTTATGTATCGAAAGTTTCAAAACAATTTTCGATGGCAAAGGTAAAGATTGATAAGATTATAAAACTATGATTTATCGTAGATTTAATTCAAAATAATCAATTCCGATTATTACTTTGATTTAGAAATTCCTTTGTGAATACTCATCGATGATCGAATCGAGAATGAATGGCCCGATAATTTAATTTCATTTGAAACCAACAACTGACTAGGTATTCATGTTTTATCAAAAAGAAAGAACGCTTATCACTGGCTTTACTAATTAAATTATTTAGGTAATGAATGATAAAATATAAAGATCTGTAAGTAAAAGTGAAAGTGGTGAAAATTGTTTCTAGAACAAAAATGGGAATGAGTAATTGCTTCTCATGGATAAGACCCTCTAGCATGGCTTGATACAAGTCGACTTCATTGTCAAACAGTGAGTAAGCTGAAAAAATAACAATTAAAAATATGACATCTATAAAGACAGGCAGCGTTCATTATGTAAATCTGTTTATGTTTAAATTATTTTTTAGCTACACGCCCCGGCTTCGCATGGGTGCAATATGCATGTATTATACATATAAACCTTCCTTAACTATCACTCTACCTTTAAAAAAAACCGCATCAAAAACCGTTGCGTATTTTAAAGATCTAAGCATACATAGGGACAGATAGACGGCGGATGGCGACTTTTTTATAATATGTAGTGTTTATTTATGTTCTTAAGTCCTTTGTCCAGTAGTGGGCGTCTTCAGGCTGTTGATAATGATGATAATTTTCAAAATAAAAGCCCTATAGATTAAGACTAATACGGTCCTCAAGTCGCTTGTTGTTTATGCCAAACCCCTAAGACGCTAGCTATCCTCTTTTATTTAAGGAGTGTAGTTATTTGTGATCCAGTGGCGCAGTGCCTTGGCGGCCCCGTATAAAAATTTGTTTAGGGGCCCTTGAAGGGTAAACATTTCTCACAAGAGATTGTTTTTCCATAAAATACTTATAATTTGTGTGAAAACCGAAAATCTTTTCAAGCAACTCCCTCTGCCTTTATTAGCGGACAAAAAAAATGACACCCGAAACAAACAAACAATTTATGGACCACACAAAGAGCTGCTCCGTGCGGGAAAAATCTTTAATTAGGTGTATCCAATCTATTACGTAGGTACCTAATCTTATGATGTTTTTGTAAACATGAGGATAGATTCTTCCGTCTCTATTAAAGACCTATTCTAAGAAATATACATTTGTGGTCAGCCTCAAAATAGTACAAGATAACCTATTAACCTAATGGGCTAAAATTAGACTTTTATTATATTTAAATAAGTGCCTAAATATATACCAACTTACCTATATTTTGATGACTAAAAATCTTTTCCCCGAAAATGCATCACGGATTTACAAAACTCGATTTTCGTTCATGGTACCGATAGCTACGGAATTCATTTTTATTTGCTTGTAATCTTCTTTCCGATGTCCTGTCTGCTGCCTCGACTGAAATTGCTAATTACTGGTTTTATTATCAAAATATCGAGGCTTTGCTGAACGATATTCTGTGTTTTTTTAACCTTGAAAATCCTTCTATCTATGTAATAATAAAAATATCTTTCCATTGTTTTCCGCCCATTTTACGTTGAAGACGTCAATTGATTTCAAAAAAAGAAAAAAAATATAACAAAAACATACCGGCCGAATTGCCTCGTCCTTTTTGGGAAGTCTGTTAAAAAGTCTAAAACGTTATTTTCCTGTATAGAAAATTAGGACTCTTATTAAAAAGCGTCTTTGTTTACTATCACGGCTTTTATACCCGAAAGGCAGAGGTGTACATTATGCCACTGTAAGTACAATGTAACACCCACTTTTCACTATTTATTTATGTTATGAGTCTTTGTTTAAACATGTTCATTTCTGGAAACCTCGAGGAAAGTTATCTAATTTTGTACAGAGCTTGTATTTGAAATCACAGGAGGAAATATACATTCATAACCATTAAGTTTAACTAGGTAAGGTATAAAATTAAAAACAATATTGCCCAGTGCATAATGAATTATCCTTTCTGCCTTTCTAAAGCCGGAAATCTGACAGTAGTTAAAGCACTTGAAAAATGCATTCGTAGAATTCCTGTGACTGTCACTTGCATATTAGTACTTCGGTGACTACCTAACTACTTAAAAATGTCTGCACGATTTAGCTTTGAATAAATTTCTTGGTAATTTGGCATCGTGCATATTATTAGTAGCAAATACCGGATTGGAATATGGTTGCACATGTTCAATTTAAATATAATTATTGTTAATCAGGATTACGGTGTGTACCTGTTACGGAACGATACGATTGTTGCGTATAGACAAAAACTGTAGAATTTTTGTTCCTAAGACTACCTAACTACTGCTACAATTCGTACTAAGAAACAAAAAATGTCTGCCTCGTTGGCCGAGTGGTCGCAAGTGCGACTGCCGGGCAAGGGGTCTCGGGATATCGATTCCGGGGTCGGGCAAAGATTTACAAGGTTTAAAAAAAATCTCAGTAGTAGCACGGAATCTGGATTGTGCCCGGTATACGACAAAAGGCTCACCTCCTATTACATGGGACTTATAACATAAATAGTGAAAAGTGGGTGTTACATTGTACAGTGGCATAATGTGCACCTCTGCCTTCGGGGATTAAAGGCGTGATGTTATGTTATGTTATATGTTGCTAAAAAATACATCTTAACGTCCTTTATCTTCCGTAATGACTGCAAGGTGACGCCTCGTGGTCGTGGGTTCGATTCCCGCATGGAAAAACTGTTTATGTGACCCACAGATTGTTGTTCCAGGTCTGGGTGTCATGTGTATGTGGACTTATATGTTTGTAAACGCACCCACGACAAAGAAAAAGATCCAACTGCGGTACAACATTTAAAAAAAAGTTGGGCATATGAGAGCATTTATTGACATCCACTTCTCGCCAGCAGTAATTAGTTCGATTAAATAAAAGACGATTGACAATCATCAGATGCTGCAATGTGCATAACATGCTCAAGCACTTACGTACCTAAAAAAACGAATTATTCAATTAAATCATATCCTACTATATGAGGGCCAAGACCTTACTGATTGATGGCATTAGTTCCATGATTCGTATGATTCACAAAGAGTTGAAGTTAATAATCTTGTTCGTGTATTATTCCAGGTCAATTCTCGTACAGTTCGAGCGGGGTGCGCATCAGTGTGTCTTCAGTGCCTCATGATGAAGACTCCACTGATGCCGAGATCTCTAAGATCGACTTCACACAACATCAGTACGAGGTAACTACACTTTTGCTATTTACCGGAGTAGAAGTTGTTAAAGAATAACTTTTAGTGACAACGTTTTAGAGTACATATTGGGACAGTTGAATTGAAATGAAATGAAATGTAAAACGCATTTATTCAGCATAAGACATGCACGTCAGGAAAAAAATATTTATGCATTATCACAAATAACAATAAGTTCCAGTATTTTCATGGTTGTATCTACTGTAGATCCTGGCTTACAGGAGTTGCAGCGGTTTTGGGAGGTTGTGACGGGCTTGTCCCAAGAAAAAAAAAACAATAAAAACAGACATAGAAAAAAAAAATAAGGTAAATTATAAAACTAAAACAAGCTAATAATACATTTACAACATGCTGCGCGGTGTTGGCGGACATGCCCAATCCGAATGGGTCACCAACTCAGCTTAGAGCTGGGTACAATGAGCACCCAACACTGATTTTTAGTTCAATCTTGTTAAAGCTGCAAAATACTTTATTTAAAGAAACGTTACTTTAATTTCTGCATACAGAATGCGTTAAAGAGAATAGGGATGATGACAGTTAGTTAGTGATGTAAGTTACGTAATGAAAAAAATATTTGACACGTATTTTTTTATTTTGTCGCATAATAAAACAATACTTAGATAAAACGAATCTAAGTTTAGGAGTGGCGGCTGAAACGTCATTTCTACGTATAAAATGTACATAGAAGTGACGTCACGCGACATTTCAAAACAATATATCGTAGAAAGTATTCGTTTCGATTTAAAAGGATCTACTAGACGGACATTAAAATAAAAATTAGGCATCTACCCTATTATGCAACGTTAAAATTTAATTAGAATTAAATAGCATGATTCTGACGCTGAAATACTAAAACGTCATTCAATTTATTCTTAAATATAGTTCTGTCTCTACAAATTCTTTGTAAAGCGACAAAGATGGCACGATATTTAAGTACAACTAGACTTTCAGTATTCGGGCGTAAGTCAGTTATCAAAAATTGCTATTGCAACCAGCCCACCAACCAATTGTCCATCCGAAAGTACCATTTCTATTTTCTATAGTTAACTTTACACCAGAAAAGAAAGGATTGAATGAAGACAAAGACATTCAATTTAAAAGGTATTCATGTCAAGTGCAAGCGATGAAATTTTGACATCGCATTGATAATAACTGACCATCATAACAGTTGTTAATCGACCACCCAGTATCTCCTTGAACTTCGTGACTGACGGATGTAATCAGTCATCGGTTGATTTCTCAAGTCAGTGATCTTTGCACAATGCGGGCTCTTTAACTCAATAGTAATGTCTCGAGACAGACTAAAGTGAAATGCGACTTCCTAGTCTTCGATATTGAAAAGTGGTAATCATTGTCACCATATTAGTGTCGTGGTAGCCCGGAAGTAAAGACACCTGGTTCTCATGCCTGAGGATGCGCTTTCGAAACCTACCAACGGCAAGTACCAATGTGACTTTTTCCGAGTTATAATATGTACTTTCTGAGATTATTTAGACTTCACTGACAAACGGTGAAGGAAAACATCGTGAGGAAACTTAGACTTATGATTTCTAATTATAAGTTTGAAATCGCAAACTCGCATTGAGCAAGCGTGGTAATTAATGCTCAAACCTTCTCCGTGCGAGAAGAAGCTTTTGGTCAGCAGTGGCCATTTATAGGCTGTTGATGTGTATCATCAGATTTTTCGGTTAAAACTTGTGTACGATATTATAAAAATTACACTTCTGCATCCTTTCTTCTGCTTTGGAAGTAAATATGAACACCGTCTTTTCCAGGTTAATATGCGTAACAAGAAGAAGCGTTCATTGAGTGGTGCCCCCGAAGTGTCCAGCAATGAACGGGAACGACCAATGTCCTGGGAGGGAGAGCTCTCTGACTCGGAGATGGTCATAGACACCGGTGGTAACAATGGTTAGTATTGCTTTACTTATTAATCAGCATAAGAGTAACTGTTCGATGAGGTTACTCGACTACTTTCGAGTCCGGTCTGGGGCTCATAATCATAAGCCCCTTGAGCGACAATCTTATTGAACAGATACATGAGTTAACCGTATAGCTTAATTAATTTTAACTGGTATATTTTTTAATTTTGTTTATCTGAGTGTGATTTATTCCGCAGACGAAAATAGCAGTTCTCTAGACCTCCAATCGTCGAGGGATTCAATCGACACCCTTCGCAACGTGAGCATAAAGACAGAACCTGTAAAGACTGAGGGTTTCCAGGGCGTGGATGAGCAGCGGGTCCTGGATCTGAAGTACAGCGCCCCGCTGCAGCCACACCAGCGGAGTCTTAGTATGAATAGGGTAAGAGATTATTGTATTTTATTTATACCTACTCCCTTTAATCTTGCCCAACCAGCTATCGTCAGAGTCATAATATTTAACACAATCAGGCGAATCTAATTAAAATACAATGACACTGCAACTAATTTAGGACAAACTAGGAATGTTTTTAGTTATCTCCCACAGAACAAAGAAAAACAATTGTCTACCATACGCGTCAAACATTTTATAGAATAATTATTACTTCCAGATATCAGTGCTCACAGATGGCACGTCCCTCTCTCTTGCAAGACGGCCCTCCTCTCCGACCAGTAGTGCCAAATCCCTCGCATTAAGTGACCAGGGTTCAACACATATGACACACACCGGACTCGATCAAGTACAGAACCTGACCATCAAGAAGGAAACGCAGTTATCAGGTCAGTTCTTCTTATTTTTGGAGAATCATCATCACGAGCCCTTGAAAATCCACTGCTAGATGGCCTTAAGCTATCATCTATATAAAAGGGCTTGCTAAATCCTCCAGTCACCAGGTCTGGTAGGCTGAAGATCATAGTTTAAAATTATTAAGATTATCAAAAAGCGCTGCTGCCTAGTGTCTATTAAATATGTAATTTGTAATGCCTTATTCTGATATCACGATACTTAAAGCAAATAGTTTCACTAGAGGACCGACAGACGGCTTTTTTTTATAATTGTAGATCGTTTAAAAGTGCCTTCATGGTCTAATTGAAATGAATAAGACCAGGACAATTAGACAAGACAATAGTACATGGTCTGCCATGACTACTATTAATGCACGCACTTTCTGGTAAGAACTGATTTATTTCAAACAAGTGTCAAACAGGGTAACAAGAAAAAATAATAGATGGCGTTACTTACGCTACAATTATTGTTGTTGTTACTCAATCAACATATCAACTACATGGTAACATATTTTATTAAAATAAATGTTTATGTCTCCACAGAATTGAAATGCGAGCAGTCAGTGGGTATGGACAAGTTGATAGGTGCGCTGCACGGCTCGCCACTGCTCGGGCGCCTGCCGCGCGTACAGTCCAGTGCGAGCACGGACTCCGCTGTACACTCCATGTACACGCACAGGTATAGATGTTTATGAATAAAACTGTGTTATCTATATATATAAAAGAAAGTCGTGTTAGTTACACTATTTATAACTCAAGAACGGCTATATCGATTTGGATAAAAATTGGTGAGGATGTAGCTTAGAACCAGGAGACAGACATAGGATACTTTTTACCCAATACTTATTTTTTACTTTTAACCGAAAATCAAGAACGGGTACGGGAAATATCGGGATTGCGCGTACGAAGTCGCGGGCAGAAGCTAGTAATAAGATATTTACTGGTTCGATTGGTTTAGGTAAAATTTTGTGGTTTCCTGTTCTAGTCGCATTTTTTTATGGCACAATCACGCCATATACTTTAACCTCCTATTTTTTAGTTTCTATTTTTATACCCGCACCGGTTCCCTTTTCGACCTCCAAAAAAAGCTATCTTCTGTAAGCCAGGACTAGAGTGCATACTAGAGGAACGGTATACCGTACGGCGTACCGTAGGAATACCGTTCCTCATCATACTTATCAACAGCCTATAAGTGGCCGCTGCTGACCAAAGACCTCTTCTCACACCGAGAAGGTTTGAACGTTAAAAGTGGTGATTATTGTTCAAACCTTCTTGCTTGCTGAATACGAGTTGGCGATTTCAAACTTATAATTAGAAATTATAAGCCCAGGTTTCCTCACGATGTTTTTCCGTCATCGTTGACTGTAATACCGTTTCTAATTTTTTTTTTATGGCATAAGCCGGTAAACGAGCAGACGGATCACCTGATGGTAAGCAATCGGCGTCGCCCATGGACACCTGAAACACCAGAGGCGTTACAAGTGCGTTAACGGCCTTTTGGGGATTAGGAGTTCGAGGATCGTTGGGGATTCAGGGATTGGGGAGATTGGGGAAGGGGAGGGTAATTGGGCCTCCGGTAACCTTTAATATTAACTAAAATTAGTTTCTTAGTATATTGTTATTAACTTATCCGCAGCGTATACAGCAGTCCGTCAGCGAGTCCCCGCGCGTCCCGCCACTACACGCCGTCCTTGTCCCGCAACAACAGCGACGCGTCCCACTCGTCCTGCTACTCATACAGCTCCGAGTTCTCGCCCACACACTCGCCAGTGCAGGTGATATAACTATTATCATCTAGTATAATAAATATCAATGGAAGGAAGCATGTCTATCATGCTTCCCCGTCTACCAAAATGAAGTTTTTCTTACGGTATAGGCCTAGGGGTGATGCGCATTTGTATCAGAAGATACAAATGCATTGCCGGCCTTTTGGGGATTAGGTATTAGGCTATTAGGGATGAGGGAGGAAGAGGGGTCTCTGGGAACCTCACCCTCACAGCGAAACACAATGTAAGCCGTTGTTTCACGCTGGTTTTCTGTACGGCCGTGGTATCACTCCGGTCGAGTCATCCCATTCGTGCGTAAATCCTCCTACACTAAACTATTAGGATTGATTTATAACTCCTATTTTCTCCCCCAGGGTCGTCACCCGCACGTAATGTACCGAGAAGCGGCGGCGGCATACGACGGTACACACGAGGACGAGCCGGACGCCCCTGAGGACAGGCTGCATCACCATCAGGGTATTAGCAGACAACAGCTTATTAACAGGTAATACTCTCACCTTGAACCTTCTTTAAAAAACAAAGTGTAATGTAAGTTTCCTAATTTCGAAAAAGACATTTTAATCATTTACCAAAAACCATTTTCAATCGAGAATTTCCATATAAACATTACAACGTCATGTCTATTTAGCTCCCAAAGGGTAAACATACATAATTATACAATGTAACAACCACTCTTCACTTGTTACATTATGCATTCTATGTCAATCTATAGTCATATACCGGGCACAATTTCAGCTTCTGTGCTACCACAATAAAACTTTCCCCAATCCGAAAATCAAACGCGATACCCCTTTATCCGGTAATCATAATACACTTTTAACATCTTTTTTATTTTAATTTAAATCTTTCTTTCATCCACCAGTCCATGCCCAATCTGCGGAGACAAGATCAGCGGCTTCCACTACGGCATATTCTCGTGTGAATCCTGCAAGGGTTTCTTCAAGCGAACGGTTCAGAACCGCAAGAACTACATGTGTCTCCGAGGTGGGAACTGTCCTGTCACCGTCACTACTAGGAAGAAGTGTCCAGCTTGCAGATTTGATAAATGTTTGGGTTGTGGCATGAAACTTGAAGGTAACTGTTTGATTTTGAACCTAAACTAGATAAGAATAAGGATTGTTTTTATAATAACTATCGTGAGACATACTCAATTAAGTAAAAACGCGGGTTACTCACGTGAATATAACGGGTTCGAATCCGCAGCTCACTGTTAGCTGTGCGACGTCGCCGCGACCGCGCACGCTGCTCTTAAGGAAGAACCCCTCTGTGGTTCAAAACTAGTAGAGCTTTTCTCAGTATATTCACGTGAGTAACCCACGTTTTTACTTAATTAAGAATAAGGGTTAATATAGGAAAAATCTTAAAGTTTGCAATAACAAAGCCCTTTTTTGTATAATTTCGTATGATATACTAAATTAATTTCAAATTACGACTTACTCGTGAGGTATACTACGCGACCCCGGCGTCGTCGTTTCACATACGCTGCTCTTGAGTAACGGTCCCGATTTGACTTGAAACTAGTAGAGCTTTTCTCGAATAGTTTACACTAGCGACCCGCCCCGGCTTCGCAATATGCATGTATTATACATATAAACCTTTCTTAAGAATCCCTCTACCTATTTAAAAAAACCGCATCAAAATCTGTTGCGTTGTTTTTAAGATCTAAGCATACATAGGGACAGACAGACGGCGGATAGCGACTTGTGTTTTATACTATGTAGTGATTAAAAAGTACTAAGTCAACATTGTAAAAAGGCGTAAGTTAATGTAATTTAACGTTCGTATAATGTAATTTTAATTGTTATATTTGTCCAGCAATCCGCGAGGACCGTACCCGCGGCGGTCGCTCGACGTACCAGTGCTCGTACTCGCTGTCGGGCGCGGCCAGCACGGGCTCGCTACTGTCTGCGCATGCGCCCACCACGCTACGACACGCCTCCAGTCTTACTAGCGTAAGTTACTAACCTTAAGCCTATTTGTAAAAAAGCTCTTCTTATAAAATAACATAACTTAACATCACGCCTCTTTATCCCCGGAGGGGTAAGCAGAGGTGCACATTACAGCATTTAATGCTACTGTACAATGTAACACCCACTTTCCACTATATAATTATGTTATGAGTCACATGTAACAGAGGGTGAGTCTATTGCCATATACCGGACACAATTCCAGACTTCGTGCTGCCACTGAGATTTTTTTTAAAACCTAGTAATACTTTGCCCGACCCGGGAATCGAACTCAAGACCCCTTGCATTCGCACTCGCGACCAATCGGCCAACGAGTCAGTCTTCTTATAAAATAAAGATTAAAAAATCCCTATTTGTTAGTCACAATACTTTGATACCTTCATGTAAATCTATTTAAACTATTTCAATCCACGTGTCGGTAGACGCAAGTCGGTAATGACTACAATTGTTTATACAAAAGTAGTCTCTAAACATCAGTAATAAGGTCCATAATCCAGTGGGTGCGAGAGGACACCAGTGTCCTGAGAGATCCCTCTTCAAAATTCTCTCTCTCTCTCTTTCTTCTGGGGATTTAGAATATGGCTGACGACTTAACAAATAAAATGATTCTGGTTATTTTTGTGTTGGTGATAATACATCAAATAACTCCCGTCCTGGGTGAGGTAGAAGTAAAAAGGAGTGTCAGACTCTTACTGACTAAAAACCACCCCATTTCAGCTTCTACTCCGTCCCGGAGGAGAACCTCCTACCTTGATAAACAAAAAATATTGGTTGCAGGTTAACGGCCCCGGCTCGTACAGCAGCCGAGGGGAGTCCAGCAACAGCCAAGTGACGCCAGATATACCGCCGTTATTGCAGGTAAATATCAACTCTCTTAGTTAAAACATACAGTCTGAATTTGCATCACACAGTCCCTCAACTAGATTTAGGGTTAGCACTGAATCTTACAGAGATTTTGCTGAACTTAAGCTAACATCTGAAATTAATAAACAATCCTAATCTAAAATATCTTGATTTATTTTTTTATGGCATATGGTAAACTAGTAGGCGGATCACCTGATGTTAAGCAATCTGCGTCGCCCATGGACACATGGAACACCAGAGGCGTTACAAGTGCGTTACCGGCCTTTTGGGGATTAGGAATTTGAGGATTGTTGGGATTCAGGGATTGGAGAGATCAAAGTTTTAGACAAAAAACTCCTAACAAGTAAAGTCAAAGTCAAAGCATTTATTTCAACTAAACCATAATTTGGTACTTTTGAAACGTCAACAAATACAAAATAAATAATAGTCTGTCAGTCAATCGTCAGTGAAGCTAGGTGAAGCTAGGTGCTCGTTCCAAAATGGATCGGTGTTACTTTCGGCCGTTAGAGATCTAAAGATGATATCACATTCTTAGGAAGACCCTTGTCAGATGTTATTTAATCACAACATTATTACATTAACCAAGAGTATATATTATGAACCTTTACACTTCTCTTTCTTCCCTCCCCTAGGAAATAATGGACGTGGAACATCTGTGGCAATATAACGAGTCTGAGCTGAGTAGACTGGGCAAATCCACGGGAGGGAGTCCTTCAGCCAACCCTCTGTTGGCGGCGAGCGGGATCACGGCGCATAACTCCAGCCCTGACTTCTTGGCCGACCTCTGTAACATCGCCGACCATCGACTCTACAAGATCGTCAAATGGTGCAAGAGTTTGCCGCTTTTTAAAAATATTTCGGTGAGTTTATTTAATCCATTATAGACCTTATTTCCGATGTTTAGATACTACTTTTGTATGAACAAATGTTGTGGATTTTTCGAATCGGGGATTAAGAAGTTAAGGTGTATTTTTAAGTCGTTTGGTGACGGATATATAGAATACATTACCCCCTACCTCTTCTCTTTTCGCGGGTGTTCTAAGAGCAGACTAAGGGGCTGTACATTTTCCAGAAATGAGACAGCAGGCTTTCTAATAAACCTCAACTCTTTTAAACTGCGATTCCCAATCCGTATGCCAAGAAAAAAAGGGGTTTACCGAGGGGTACCTAAATCCCTTTTTTTTGATGTCGGGGCGAAACTTCAATAGGCGCCTAGCTTTTTGGGGAGAAAGACTAGAGAGTGTGGGATTCTTACCTCACTAAAACCACCCCGGTGGCCACCCTCAGCACCTGTAAGGGGCACCGGGTCCTCTGAAGAGACCTGGGTGCTTCCTCTTGAAACCAATCTCAATGTCAATGCAATTTCAATCCAATAAAATCTCAATAATTATCCAATGTCAAAACTATACAACCATAATTGTAGCTGTTAAAGTAGAATTTTGAATACGGAATATAAAACCAAACTCAATACCATTTAGTTCATTAAATATCCACGCAATACGAATGAAATGGGCGCTAGTGTTGCAACTCAAGAGTACGAAATTTCACAATACCAATGTCGATCGATCGGGATTGGATTCAAGAGTAAGCCACTGCTCCGGAGGGGGGTAAACCCCTGTCATGTAGGTGAGGGCAAAGTCCAGTAGCGGACTGTCTATATCGTCTCACCTTAACATTTTCTGATTCGTGCCACGTTAGAACAATGTATAATGTTTGTATTTGTTTCCAGATCGACGACCAGATCTGCCTGCTAATAAACAGTTGGTGCGAGTTGTTGGTACTGTCGTGTTGTTACCGCGGCGTCAGTACGCCCGGGGAGGTGCGCGTCGGAGGAGGACGGGGGATCACGCTGCACCAGAGTGCCAAGTAAGACATCATTTCATTACCCAAAAATTTTTTTTTACCATTTTTTGACGCCTTTATTAAATTTCTAATAAAAACTTAAATAATATTAAAATTAACTATTACTAAATTAATAACAAAATATATACAAAAAAACCACTATTTATATAAAGCATCGAAAAATTCGTCCGCATCGACGTCAGTGGGGAAAGTACCCAGAAGGCTGGCAGCATTGCCACATTGTATGGCAATGCTTAACCTCTGACCGAGAAAAAGACCAGCCCTCTGGTCACGAGATGTGTCAACCAGGCGTTTCGAAATGTTTTTGAATAATTTAAGCGCACTCGGACCCCACGGACCGAGCGTCTCAACCCCAAACGGCTCAAAGATTTTACCCTCAATTAACATCAATATCAAGGAAAAAAAGGTAGTTTGAGTAAATACCAGCAAGACTGGTCCGACCCAGCTTACTCTGGACAGTTTTCATTTTACTTCACATGACTAAAATAAAACTTATTTGTGACTATGTTTTCCATCTACCCAGGTTGGGTCTGACGCCTTGCATCGAACGCATGCTGAGTTTCACCGACCATCTGAGACGGCTGCGAGTGGACCGATACGAGTACGTGGCGCTCAAAGTCATCGTACTACTCACTTCAGGTAAGAATTCCAACACTTTATTGACTAATAACATAACATCACGGTTTTTATCCCCGAAGGGGTAGGCAGACCACTTTTCACTATTTGTCTTATGAGTCTCATGTAATAGGGGGTGAGCCTATTGCCATATACCGGGCACAATTCCAGACTCCGTGCTACTACTGAGATTTTTTTGTTAAAACCCAGTAATACTTTGCCCGACTCGGGAATCGAACTCGAGGCCCCCTGCCCGGCAGTCGCACTTGCGACCACTCGGCCAACGAGGCAGTCAATTGACTAATACAGATCACATAATATTATATCAGTAACGCTATTAAAACCATTTCATATGTATTTTTTTAAGCATTTGAGTGATGTCACGTAAAGTGATGCTTTTTAACCCTATTGCCAAAAGGAAGGTTATTCAACTGATTATAAAACCAAACCTTATGTCTAGTGTTAAATGGCATACCGAATAAGATTCCAAACATTGTGTATAGTGAGAATTCAAAGATTTAAAAACACCTAAACAGTTCTCCGTACCCTGGACTTAAACCCTTACTACTCACTATCTAGTAGACCTTCTCAGGTCTCATCGATTCACACCTAAAATTAAAAAAATAAATAATAAAATTGGAATTTTATTTTAGTATTAAAGACTTTTTTCTGTACTTGTTTTGTTGAGGAAAATATAGGTAAACAAAATTTAACATTATCTTTATCCCATCTTTAACACAGACGCTCCAGATTTGCGTGAAGTGGAGAAGGTCCGGGCGTCCCAGGAGAAGGCGCTGGCTGCGTTACAAGCATACATAGCGACTCACTCGCCCGGCACGCCCGCCAAGTTCGGAGAGTTACTCCTACGTATACCTGAACTACAGAGGACTTGCCAGGTAAAAACTGACTCTGTTGTAATGGACTAGAGGTTAAATTTATGATTGGATGAGTTTAATAACGTAATAGGGTTGTCTGTTATATTTTTAGTTGCAAAGTCAAAGTCAAAATCATTTATTTCAATTAGGCCAGAATGGCACTTTTGAACGTCAAAAAAAATATATTAAAAGTGAAGCTATTTGCTCATTCCAAGGTGTAGATTCCTATGGAGAAGAACGAGCAAGAAATTCCATCCAGTTGCATCCAGTTGTAGATGATAGATTTTTGCATCTAATATTATATCTGTAAACAATGTTTAAAACCCACCACGTATAAAATGTTTGTGAGATTTGAATACGTTATTTTCCAACTAATCAAATTCAATACTTTTATTGAAACGTCAAAAACGATATTGTTCTATGAATTTTGTACCAAAAACTAACGTATGACGTCATCATATGTATTTTCGAGTCAAATTTATTTATTTATTTATACAAATAAATAAATAAATAAATTGTCAAATTGCACACTTGTTTCTGAAAAAATTACTAGAATAAATCGATAATTAAGTATATCGTCAAATATATGAATGAAATTGTAATTATTTTTAAATATTTAATTGGATTGAAAAATCAAAATAATTTATTTTTGACTCAGGAAAATACCCAATTTCACCTAAATCAAGTTCAATGAATTTTGAACTTTAGGTGCCTACAGCATAACAGATTCTTTCCTTTATCGGACACCCTAAGTGTTAAATAATATTAATAATCATTCCTTTTCCACAGTTCTTCATGCAAGTCGGTAAAGAAATGCTGAACCCGGCCAACAAAAGCAAAGACGGTGATGGACCAAGCTTCAACTTGCTCATGGAACTGCTGCGCGGCGACCACTGACCTCAACTCGACTCGAGCTCACCTCATACTGACCTTAGGGTCATCACACGACAACCTCAAGGTCATCATACGACAACCTGAAGGTCATCACACGACGACTTAAAGGTCAAAAACCATTGCTCAAGAATATAATAAGTGTATCCTCTCTAGAATGACAAGGATCATCAAAACTATATCATGTACATCAGTCAATGAATTAAAAAAAAACTAGTCTTCGCTCCTTCATTGGACTGCGTTAATAAGCCTTATAATTATTTTGGACATATATACTCGGATATGCGTGTTTTCTATGGCGATCATCATCGAATCAATCATCAATATACGTAAAAAAACAATCAGCCGAACATAGTATATTATCCTTTTTTTGAAGTCGGTAAAAATCGATTAATCATTACTTGTTTGGCCTTAGCACGTAAAAGATTTGCTGCAAAATTAATGCACTGCATTTGATAAAGTCATCATTATTATTACATGTACAGTTAGCAGTCATATTAAGAGCCTATAGGTGGCCACTGCTGACCAATGGTCTCTTCTTACTCTACTCTCTCTCTCTCTGCTCAAACTCTTGCACTAATTAGAAAATTTGATGATATGGCTAATTCTCCTATTACGCCAAGTACTTCTTTTGCTACATATCTCTTTTAAAACCTATACTGCTGACTGTACATTGCATTTTTAATCAGATTAAATAAATCGTTAATTTAGCAAGGATGCTAAAGAGGTTAATTATTCCATTTGTCAATTAATCAATTCATTAATTTGATAAAAAAACACATGGTATTCACTTATCATTCGTTTCATAACTAATGCCCTTTAGTATCAAATAAGTGCCAATCTAGCTAATAATATTGCATTTAATTTGTCTGTCCGTCTGATAAGCTATCCTTAACCTTTTCTACCTACATTTTTAATTTTATATAGGGCAACACTTCGTAATATTTAAAAAATTCTTCCACAGTGTTGCCTGTAGTATAAAATAACGCTTTCCAAATGACATGACATTATAACTAAACAAACATACACTGCCAATTGCTTTTACATGTGTATTTAATATTTTATAAAATGTAAGGCGAAGGGATCAATGGTTAGATAGATTTTACATAAACTAAACACAATTTTTAATTTATACCATTGATGTATTTTTCGTAATATTGAAGTGTGTAAAAGGCTGTACCTTTTCATAAAATTAAACAAATCTTCCTTATGTATTCATAAATATTTAAATTCAACGAAATTAAAGCCATCAAATTAGTACATTTTAGTACGTACTTGTATTTTGTACTAATTTTTAAACGAGCTTGGGGCCTTTAAACTAGCGAGTAGATCAAGAACTGAATCTTGCCTCAGCATTTTTATAACAATTTTTTTAGATGAATTGAAATGAAATGATGAATTTAGGTGATGAAATTGTGTGTGTCGAGAGCCAAGTGTATATTATAATTACTTAAAAATATGACAAAAATACAACGATTTTACCTTTTGTGGTGTAGCATGTGTGCGCTAACAAGATGTTGACACGAGGACTGTGTAATGAAACATAGGTTTCATAATTATGTATTTATTATGAAAATAACTCATTTTTAAGGGATGTCTTTATAATCATTGCCATTTTGAATAAGTTACTTAATTATTAGTATAAAGAGTTGTTAATATGTGCAGCTTAGATGTAAACTTAGATATTTTCTACAATTTTCTGAGGGTGTAACTTTCAGGAAATCGAATTAATTTTAAAGTTTTTATAAAAAACTCATTTTTAAGTTATGAATTCGTTTTTTTTTCTTTAAAATTTCGTATTATGGATACGTTGGATTTTTTAATTTGCTTTTTTAATAAGGTGTTGGTGCAATACTTAGCATAAAGTGTCAATTTTTCCATTAAAAAAATTATTTTAAATTATCTGTACCTTTATGCTACGTCTTCGCCGTTTTTCCGCAAAGCTGGCAACACAGCTCTGCTAAACCAGTCATTCACTGCCGATTTGTAAAATAAGACATTGCTATGAGCAAACTCTCTTTATCGCAATACTTATTAGTTTTAAAAGAAAATATTCTCAATAAGTAGATTATAAAATTAGTATTAAAATGTAGTTTCTAGTTTCATATATAAATGCCTTAAAAATTACATACTTACATAAACATTTAGTAAAAAATAAACTTTATTTTTCTAAATCAAAAAAATCGTAGGATACATATTATGATACGATACACGCTCCCTAGAGGGCGCTACGGTCACTTAAATACATAACATTACAACATTCCATACATAAGTTATAAACATTATAATTGAATTCTATTTTAGTTGTTTTATCGTAGTCAAATCTAGGCAGTCTAAATCTATAGCCAGTTGCTCACAGATCACGTCTTTATTCTGTAAACTATAAGGTCGAGTTTTGTAAATCAAGGTTACGTTAGCCAAATTATGGTGTTTTAAAAATAAAGTAACAATGTGTTGAGCTAATCCGACTCTACTTCAGATTATTACTATAATTATGTTGCTATCTGCACGATGAAGTAGTAGCTAGAGATAAAAAAAATATCTCAAACAAAGGCATAATAAAAATCACAACTTTCCTGAGACATACTAAGTTAATTATTATGTTTCGGCTTACTCACGTACTTATTTGACGATGAACTCGACTAGTCTAGATACTAGACACAGTCGCTGCGTCGCAGGTCGCGAAATGCTGCTCATGAATACGAGCCCCTAGCATGGCTTGAAACTAGTCGAGTTCCTCGCTAAATAATTACGTGAGTAAGCCGAAAACCTAATAATTTGTTTAATAAAGATCACTTTGTAAAATTGAAAGTATTGTCAAAATTATATTTTAAAAATATTAAAAGTAGCTATTGTTACATTTTTTTTAAATTAATTTTTATAAACATAGTTGAATTTATTGGGTAAAACGCTTTGCAGCTATTTTCAGATTTTTCATATTGTCATATCTTGGTTTTTTTACGCTTTAGAAAAAGATAACAATAATAATGAATATAAGTTGCCGTAAAAATTGAGTTTTGGTAGACAAATTCCCTTTTTGGAACTACTTTTTAAAAATAATAATAATTAATTGTCATAATAATCAGTAAATTTTATTGGTTTTCACCCTGGGAGTTTGTTCAATACCAACATAGTCGTTACATCGTATCTCCTATTCATTGGACTTCATCAATGTACAGGCAACCACGATGTTTGTCAATACTGAGACAAACAGTAACATAACATCACGCCTTTTTATCCCCGAAGAGGTAGGCAGAGGTGCACATTGCGGCACTTAATGCCACTGTACAATATAACACCCACTTTTCACTATTCATGTCAGAGTCCCATGTAATAGGGGGTGAGCCTATTGCCATATACCAGGCACAATCCTAGACACCGTGCTACTACTGAGATTTATTTTAAAAACCCAGTAATACTTGGCCCGACCTGGGAATCGCACTCAAGTTCCCTTGTCGGCCAACGAGGCAGTCATACAAAATTAATATACGTTTTAACGAAGCTACATTTTTAGTTACTTTACTACTGTTTGTGACTGTCTCGTTGGCCGAGTGGTCGCAAGTGCGACTGCCGGGCAAGGGGTCTCGGGTTCGATTCCCGGGTCGGGCAAAGTATTACTAGGTTTTTCAAAATCTCAGTAGTAGCACGAAGTCTGGAAATGTGCCCGGTATATGGCAATAGGCTCACGCCCTATTACATGGAACTTATAACATAAATAGTGAAAAGTGGGTGTTACATTGTACAGTGGCATTAAGTGCCGAAATGTTCACCTCTGCCTACCCCTTCGGGGATAAAAAGGCGTGATGTTATGTTACTGTTTGTTTCAGTATTGATTGAATCTTAATTTTCTTACCTTCATAGCAAATAAGTTGGCTGATTGCACAAAATTGATCACAATCCCGTACTCGTAAAAATGAAAGACGTAAACAAAGATAGGAAACATAGTTTTTAGGTATCAATATCAGGGAGTTTGTAAAGTTTTGAAGTTCACATTTCGTCTGAAATATTAGAAATCTTGTAATAGCTACTTCCGCGCGGTTTAACACGCTCTGCTCAGCTCCTATTGGTCGTAGCGTGATGTTTTATAGCCTATAACCATCCTCGATAAATGCGCTATCCAACACAAAAAGAATTATTCAAATCAGACTTGTAGTTACGGAGATTAGCGCGTTCAAACAAACAAACAAAAAAACAAACTTCCGCTTTATATAATATAGTATAAGATATTCGCCATGTGTCTTTAGAATACTGAGATATTAAGTTTTTTTGACGATGTGAACACCAAAACTCATTATAACCTCCCAAACGGGCACAAGTACTTCAGTTATAGTATATATATAGCTAAATATAACGAGCTCATAAATAATTAAGATAATTATGTTTATAGATACATAATTATAACGATATCAAAAAGATGTGCCACACGAAAAATTGTAATAATAATAATTATAAATTTTTCTTTGAGATTTTTATGTGATTCTGTATTTTCTTGATGTTGTTTGCCAATACAATAATGACGTTTACAAACATTAGAACAGTGGTATCTATTTATAGTTTTGTAGATTGTTTACTGAACTGATAAATTTAAGAAGTTAGTGCGTTAGATTATATTTTTATATTCAGTAAAGTAGGTAGTTAGCGGATGTGAGTGCGGCAAGACGGTGTGTATGTAAGGTCCGAATAATTTTTATATTAAAAATTACAAGGAACGCAAGAGTGTTAATGGCGTCCATGTTCTGTTATTATTTTATACATAAGTATTATAGTGATATTGTATTCTTCTTTATTTTGTAGAATTATAAAGATTTTTTTATATATAGCGCAAAACGAATAAATATGATTTTGATTTAATATGGTTTTTCTTTTATCCTATTTATTTTTTTTGAAACTATTTTATAACAGTTGTAGATACCTATCGACTGACCTGTTTGGAACGTGTGCAGTTATCACAATTAGCGGCATTAGCGCCCTCTACAACACTTATCAACAAATCAGGAAACGACAGATACAACATATTTAATCTTGGGTGCGGCTGCTTTTCCACCTTAAATTAGTTTATTATCTAAGTTATGCATCGACCATGCAGAGAACAAACACTTTGTCTTATTATCAGAATAGGGTAGACGACTAATTTTTACTTAATGTCCGTCTGGTAGATTATTTAAAAACATTAGACACGTATTTTTTATTTTCTTACGGAAACGAATAGTTTCGAAGATATATTGATTTGAAATGTCGCGTGACGTCACTTCTCAGTACATTTTATACTAAGAAATGACGTTTTAGCCCCCACTCCTAAACTTTGATTCGTTTTATCTAAGTATTGTTTTATTATACAACAAAATAAAAAAATACGTGTCTAATATTTTTTTATTACCTAAGTTACGGACTAATTATATTTTTAATTTTCATACCCTGTCATCATCCCCATTATCACACTAAGCCCATCAGTCCATAATTATCTCTAAATATACACTTATTTGATTTTTTAAGTACCTAGAGAAAAAACGCGTTAGTGAAATCATTTCTATATTTTTTATTATTTATGTAAATAATAAAATATGTTTATAATAATGAGAAATTCTAAATTAATTAAAAATCGTGAATTACGGGAAAATACAGCGAAAAACTCTATTAGTTTCGAGCCAAAAAGGGGTTCTTTCTCATGAGCGACATGCGCGGTCGCGGCGATGTCGCGCAGTCTATTGTATTGTTGAGTTGATTAGTAATCAACTTATCGACTTAAACGGGGTGGTTTTTACTCAATGAGAATCTGACACTCCCGCCTCACACAAGGCGGGAGCCGGAGAAGTCATTGGATGATTTTTCCCGTTATAAAGTCGGAACTGTTCAATGCTCATTGATTCTCCTTAAGACTGAAGCCTTTACTCGGTATGCTGCATAGTGTAGCAGTCTACAAATTACGAGATTATTAGTCTTAAATCAAATTACAAAAGAAAGATCCCCAGTCTTTGTTTGAAGTGTGCAGTAGCAGCGATAGTACTGGGTGCAAACTGATGATTAATTAGCCACATGCAAAACAGAAAAATCCCACTTATCAGGTCTTAATTATGTTTCGCAGCTTTAATAATAATTTATTATCTATTTAATCCGTAAAAAAACCAAAGATCCGATTGCCCCCACATCAATTTGCTTAGATTTCATTAACAAATAAGTAATATACTAAGAGGTAATTTTCTATTAGGTTTTGGAAGTTACGAAATTACAAAATGTTTCTTAACATGTAGATCCTAAACTCTAAATCAGTCTACGTATCTACCAAATCACACAAAGCTTCCTTAAAACGAATAGCGCATTTAAAACTTTCTACCCTTTTATATAGGTACGGAATTGTCGCTTTACACTACCAGACAATATTAGAAACAGACCCGAGCGTACGGCGCTAACGGGTTACCGGGGCTCCGGCTCGACGTGCAGGAGAAGGAACGGGGTGGTTTTAAGTCAGTAAGAGTCTGACACTCCCTGAGCAGTAATTCGAAGATTTTCCCCCCTTAAAAAAAAGACAATGTTACATCACAACTTCACACCGGTATTCTGAGCGAGAGAGGTATTTCTCTGGCCGAGACAACCCCTATTGGAGTTGCATAATATTAGCAGGTACATTTAGCAGCTAAGGTCCAGCCTTTATAGCCTGACGATACCGCCTGACGCAGGTCCTCACCGGACATGGAAGTTTCGGGAGGTACCTGTGTCTGATGGGGCGGGAGGAAACGTCCGCCCTGAGGACACGGTGGAACATACGGTGGGAGAATGCCCTTCGTGGGCTGAGCACCGCCGTGTCCTCAGGGAAGTGATCGGCGATGGCGACCTCTCGCGTCCGGGCCTAGTGCGGGCCATGATGCGGAGCGAGGGGGACTGGGATGCCGTCTCCTCCTTTTGCGAAGCAGTCATGCTAGCTAAGGAGGAGGCGGGACGCGTGAGGCAGCGAAGCGCTGCCTCCTCGCAACCCAGCCATCGCGAAGGACACACCGGGCGTCGGGGATCGCGGGACGATCTCCGGCCACCGTAAGCGCGGGCCTGCGGACGGCGAGCATGGGTGGCTCCCCGTCCGACCAGAAACAGACCCGAGCGTACGGCGCGTCGCGTTCCGCGCGCGCCTCAAAGAGCCATCAGACCACCACAGATGGGGCCCAATAGGGCCGATGCCGATTCGGAGTCGCGGAGAACCTAACGGGTAACCGGGGCTCCGGCTCGACGTGCAGGAGAAGGAACGGGGTGGTTTTTAGTCAGTAAGAGTCTGACACTCCCTCCCGCCTCACCCAGGCGGGGGCAGTCATTCGATGATTTTCCCCCCTTAAAAAAAAAAATAGCCTGACGATGATAATGACGCTCTTCCATTGTATAAAGGTCCAAATAAAATGTTTCCTACAAGATTGCAGGGAAGGGAGTCAGTAATTTAGCCACGATGACTACGTAAGTAGTTAGGCGACCCGTAAGTTTTGATAGAACGACATACCACAAAACAATTCTCTGTGTGATCCACAAATAGTTGTCCCAGGTTTGGGTGTGATTTGTTTGTGAAATTGTATGTTTGTAAACGTACCCACACCCAAAACACAGGACTCGAGCGTAAGACGCGCGGCGCGTCATAGTCCGCGCGCGCCTCAAAGTGCCACGGATGGGGT